CCACTATTTAACCTTGTACCTGATAACAGACAATTCTATATCCAATGTACATAAACTGAAATATGGCTCAGTGCCATTCTGATTACGTCTACCATGTATAAACATAAACACAACGATCATGTATCTATAATATACAAATACACATAGGCAAACACATGCCTGTCAAAATGATTATCAACTATATACATGCATGATCAGATACTTCATGCACTAGCAAAACATGTCTACACAGACATTCAAAACAACCAAGTGTCTATTCTTGTTGAGTCCTCTATCCTCACTGCACTGGTCCTTTTCCCTTTGAAGGTTCTCCTGCTGCTGATGTACTTGTAATTTAAATTACAGCCCTACGACGGGGTGAGAAATGAATCCCAATAAGACTCAGAGTTTATGGAGTAGTCTCCTCCCATGAGTTCACTTTCTGCATGAAAGGCCAGATATAAAACATATAATACAACATGCAATCTTATCAATTTATATTACTGAATTAATACAGAAGCATTATACTTCTCCACTAATAATAATACAGAAGCTCTTGTACTTCCCATTGATAATGATACAAAAGCGTTTGTACTTCCCACTTGTAATATTACGGAAGCATTTGTACTTCCTGTTTAATAAATTAACACAACACAACATCTTGTATACTTATCTACTTGAATTATAATACATCACATCACAACATCAATGTACTTGTCTATATGAATGCTCATGAATGCACATGTATGCACATATACCAAATATCTCACTATCAATCATACACACATCTGAACCATCATCCATACTGGACTATGGTGGAACAACAATGAAGAGAAAATTCCTAAACTAAGAGCTTACCTGTAGAAACTCAAATCCAATGCTTACTTGAACCACACAAATTAATCCAATGCTTCTAAATCTTGTTCTTCAACCTATGTACCATCAAATTATAATTAAAACCAATTTATGCCACCACACAAGTCAAGGACAACTACCCTAGGTTTTTGGATTTATTACATATTACCATTTCCACCTGAATTGTATGTAAAACAAGGTTTTAAATACCTTAAGCCTACATACAAGACCCAAATAGGATTTCATATATTTTCTTTGGTTCTAATACTAACCAATCATCATTAAATGTCCTAAGGATCATTGTTTTACATAATAGCCCATGAATTGAACACTTGATTTGCACAATTATTTCAATATGGCCGAAATGCACTATTTTTGACAACATTGACATCCTGTGCCATTTAATTCATGAAAATTCCATTTCTTATCCAATTGATCTAAATTTTTGATATGTTATAATAGACACATGTACCTTTAATTTGCAACAAACCAAGCTTCATTTGGAGTCCTATAGTTTCATATATGGTTTTTCTAAAACAGCAGCCTCAAATTGACTTATAACCAATTAAAACCACGTGAAACATCATCATTTAATCATGATATTATCAAACCCTAACCCATCATATAATGCTTAATAAAATAACTTCCAACCATCAAAATCAAGATGTAATACCTTATTAAGCTTCCTTGTGAACTAGGCAACATTTTCCACCTAAGTACTTGTCAAAACCTTAACTTTCTCTCTCTAGATGAATAGTACCAGCCCTCTTTGAATGAGTGTTTCTCTCACTACAAGGCTCCTTAAGAAGAAAAGAAAGAGGATTTAGGTTCTCAAAACCAAAGGCTACAACTTTTGTGTAATTGAGTTTTTGCTAAAAATGACTTAAAACCACTTGAACTCTCAAGCTCTCTCTTCAGCCATGGTCACGGCTCCAAGAAGAAGAGAAGAAGCAATTTCGTGGTTGCCTTTAGGAGAAAGAATATGACCGGTTATGTATTGGAAAAAATCACTAAAGTTACTTAACTTTATACTTTACAGCTTTACATGAAAGCTTAATTCCTATTGGTTACTTTCATTCACATTAATCTTGTCATCATCTTATACAACATTCTAGAATTCTTACAAGTCACTTAGCCACCTCACATGTAGAAAGATGACTAGAATTGCTTACTTGTCCATTTGACACCTTTTGAACATTCAAACTTATCATTCATTGGTCCATTTGTTCAAGACTAATCAAACTTAATTCTAATTGGTTGGTCTTTACTTAACTTTGACCTTCTTGAATATAAAACATACAAGTCACAAAGAACTCACTCATGCATCAAAAATCATGCAAAGAATTCACAGAGTTAAGTTACTAACTTGACAACTTTGTATACGTCTTTGACTTAAATCAAATTCCATTGGTTATTTAATTTACATACTTTGACCTATTTTTAAAAATTAATCTAGACATTTTTTGATCATAATAAGATCACTTTGAACTCATGAAATTAACTATAGAATTTAATTACATCATCAAAATCAAGCTTTGAACTAACCTTGGTCAAATACCAAACTAATTCTGACTTTTCACGTAATGACATCTATGTCCCTACATATACCTTAAACTTATATTAGGGTCCTATTAGACTTGTCTGGCATTAATTGTATCCTTGTATATCTTGTCATCTTAATTGCATGATCAATGAACCATTACTTGACATTACTTGTCACAATTTCCTTGAACACAACTACTTGATCCCTTGTAAACTTGACTTGATCTTTTGAACACTTACTTGATTTTCTTATTTAGCCTAACTTGATACTAAGTGTTGTTATAGTCTTCAACACTTGACATAAAGCTTGCCAACAACAAAAACAAAAAACGTTAAAAAAGAATAAAAAACTTCGCCGGAACAGTGACAAAACACTGTGGGACCACTGGTTGACTGTGCCTGAGTCGAAATGCCAATGTAGGCACAGATCTAGACGCGCAAGGAGGAGGCGAGTTTGTCTGTCCAAGTCGCACGTGAAAATGATGTACCATCCGCCGCTGCAATGTTTGGAAGGGCGCGTCTGTTTCACGCGCGTGAGGGAACTTGAGCAACAGTTTCGAGATGGGTCCTTGACAGAGGAGATCGCCTCGTCGTGGTGATCACAATTGTGTAGATCGCCAGAACAGTAACTGGTGACAGTGGTCAACAGTGAAGATGATCTAAACAAATAGTGGTTCTCTCAGTCTAAAAGGTCCTCGGAAAAAATTTCCGTTGGCTGTTGGTGGCGGCGAGAGGCAAAAATAAGGGTTTTGTTTTAAAAACGGTAGTATTCTAATATAATTTTAATAGTTGTGTAATAGCTGTATAAGAGTTCTCTATTTAAAGAGACTAAAAGATCTAATGAGTTAAAGCCCAAATACACTTATAGAGTATTCTAGCTAATACAAATAATAAATAAATAATTCTAATATTTACAACAGTAATCATGTATGATTATTTCACAGATGTGAGAATTTGACCTAATTCAAACTAATCATTACATCTCTTTGGTTAATTTAATACATAAAAGCAACTTTCATTCACAGTCAAACAAAACTGTCTTTAAATTCTTTATAAATTTATATATCAAAACATAAATTAATTATTTCGTATTTGGTTGTCAATTTTCATGAAGATTGATTATACAGTACTTTATCAAATGGAAGCGTTTGACATACAGATACACTAATTAGTAATCTTGTAGATAATGGAAATTTCCATCTGGTAATAATCATACTTGTGAATAGCCCCGCTTTAGCGGAGTTGCGTTGCGGTGCAGTGGCCGACCGCCACAAACCGGGCCGCTACGGTCAAGCAAAGTGTAGCGGATGTAGCGGCCGCTACTGCGGCTGAATCGCGGCACTATTGCGCCACTATAGTAGTTTCTGCAAAAGTGTTATTGTTGTACAAGGAAGAGATTTACAACTTAGACACAAGTGAAAGTGAAGATGAAGATTTGGATGTTCATGATTTTAATTATGATTAGTTCCTTAAGTTCTTTGATTTTGACATTTCACTTAAGTGGCAGTTTGGATTTTGGCTAATTTTGCCACTTTATTTTGTTGTATTACATTATTTGATACTTTAATTCCTTCAATCTGCTTATCATTTGAATTTTAATGTTTGAAATCATTTATGTTTGAGTTTAAGATCCTTCAAATTTGTTTTTTATGTCACATTTTCATATTTTAAGTTTTATATTTGTGGAGTACAATTTAGTATATCACTTAGGTACACTTTGCACAATAGCGTTGTAGCGCTACCCGCTATAGCGCTATAGCAGTTTGGAGGGTCAGTCGCTATCCGAGATTAGTAAGTATGGTAATAATAACTCAGTCAAAAGGAGAAATATGGAATAAATAAAGACCCTGTAACTTGAATATATGCTGCTTTATATGGAAAACTTTTGTTCTAAACCCCAAAGTAATTCTGTGTTGAGCAACACTTTTAAGTCTTGTGTAAGTGTTGTCACAGTTCAATTGAATTTGATATTAAGTCTTATCCTCCCTCCAAGTTCTGGAAATTATTGTAAAACAAGAACATAAAGTGAAATGTAGAGAAAGGAATGACCCAATCCAAAGATTGAGCCCCAGCACTAGGAGGCCTATACCACTATGAATTCCAGTCAATTTTTGCCTAAACTCTCTCCACTCTCTTCCTTCCCATCTATCCTAATGTCCAATCTGAACTCTTTTGCTTCCCACATTCCTTCCCATGTAAGCAAGGTTGTTACAGCTCTCTTTGCTCATCGTTTCCTCTTATGCTCCTTACTCATTTTCCATAGGTAGTAGTTATATGTGGCCTGACATTGTTTTCTAATTTTTCATTTTTTAATTTTTCTGAAACATTGATATTGAATAAAGTTATGTGCATTTTATATTATGCTGTGTTATTTTATCCCTTGCGTCATAGGTGTGGACTAGTGTTGCCAGTAATTTTGATCTATATTACATTATTACTTTGAAATTTGGATCTATATTGTTTAGTTCTTGTACCTATATAATTGAATGTATTTTGTGGCTAAGAAATTTTGACATGATTGTTTTTTTGGGTTATTCTGTATTTAATTCATGATAAAATTATCTTCATTTGATTGACAACTGAAGGGAATCAGAATGCTGAGAAATTCTGTGTTATCTGTGCAGGAAATTGCATGGCAGAGGCTTGATGAACTCCAACCAGCAAGTGATGAAGTGATATCTCGTGGGATCACTGGCCTTAAGCTTTATATGGTGGCCCCTTTTCTGGCGTGAGTACAACCACTTATGATTTTGATAGTTTTGGTGAATGTCTCATGCGTTGTCAAAGTTCAAAAAGATTCACTGCCTTCATGCAGATCATTGAAATCCTGGATTTCAGCGCACCAACCGCCTATGGCTCCTAGATCTGATTTGCCTCTTAAAGGTACGTCTATTTTATCACAATGCAGGTTGGCTACAAACATCAGTTATGTTATTTAAACTGCCTGAGGTCATAGGATGAAGTTTAGTTGCTCAACTCCTGGCTGTCTCTGGGCTCGAGTTAATTTCCAGCAGCTAGTTCCATGTGTCGCATTACATTATGCATTGCAGTCATACAGCAGCCCATCATGATTGCTGATTTTGAAATTGAGGTACAGTTGAAATTTGAGAAGTGGGATGTGTCAGTACTGGAGGTAGTTAGCTCCGATGTTGTGCAGACTGCAGGTTCCTTTGCTACAAAAACTTTTGAGTATACAAGATTTGTCAACAGGCATGGGATTCAAAAGGAAAACCAACTGTGGATGAGCTTGCATAAATAAGTGTTACTTATTTCAAATTTAGTACTGCAGTGCATTTTTAGTTTGATCCTTGCAGATTTTCCGTAGTGTACATTCTTACAATAGTTAGGATTGCTAACTTGCCTTTACTTTTGTCCAGGGATTTGTGTGTGGAAAGCAAAGCACAGTTCCACTGGAAGTAGCACCATAATAATAGACAGCCAGCCAACAAAACCCGAATCTGATTCTCACCTTCTTGATGTGGGGCCTGGAAGGAGCTTTAGGAATTTCAGATTTGATACTGCCTTAATTTTTCAAGCAATGGAAGCTGCCTTTTCCTTATGAAGGTCCAGCTGAATTGATATTCCCCCATTTCACTTGCATGTCAATGTGGGTATAGTCACACTCTCCATGCTAGTTAGGTTGCTGTACATCATGATGTTTGTCAAGTTGTATGGTTGAGTATTATGTACATTATGTACAGTTAGTATTCCTACCATATAAGCATTCTAATTGGGCTATTATTTGTAAAACTAGAGAAACAGTCGAATGTAGAAGTTACGCTACTCTATCATTAGTACTCATTGACACATTAACGTGGTCTTCTGCTAGAATGAAACTGATTTGTATGTCATACAACCCCTTTGTATACTACAGACAACGTCACAGAGAATCATTTGCAAGGGGTGACTCAGCTTTGGAAGAGAATGTTCTGAATGAGGGGTTGTCAGGGGGAATTTGGTTAGAGGAGAGAAGAGGGGGGGGGGGGGGGGGGGGGGGGGGGGGGGGGGTGGTTCAGTTGGGTGAGGTGGCATAGGAAAAAGGGTTAAAGCAGGGGGAATGTGAGAGGGGAGGCTAGGCTGGAATTGGAACCAGCCTCATTGTCCTGCATTTGGTAGCTAATTTCTCAAATTGGAGTAGAATTGCTGCTACTATTAATTCTCCCTTTTCGTTGTACTTAGTTCCTTGATACTTTGTTACTTGTACTGTTTCTTATTTCATATATCAGAAAATCCAGTTTACTAGGCCAAAAAGTGTGTTATTTTCCTTTTTTTAATTCTTACTGAAATCCAGTTCTTAACAATATGGTAATGACTATTATAAATCCTTACAACTTTGCATGTGGTTTGGTGTCTCAGGTATAACAATTCTTGTAAAACAATTTTCTGAAATGAAATTATTTTGATGATCTTATGTAATGGGGATTCCTCTGGTTTATAACTATATATTTCGCCGTGTCTGTATAGCCTGTATAGCATTGGGTTGTTGGCGACAGGGATGTCCGTCTATAGAATTCTCCTTGGAAATTGATCTGTAGATTGTCTTAATACAAGAAAAAATTACACTTCTGGCTTTCGCACCACAAACCTCTTCCATTTCATGCTTTACTGCTTCAGATGGACCTTGTACCCTCCTATCTGCAAGGGATAGGATGCTGCTGAGGAAATTAGCAGACACTGCCGCAGGATTGCTTAGCCTTGACCAAGAATCTACGTCGGGAATGGAATATCTCTATTAAATTTTCGTTTACCTCACACTGCTTAGTGAAATCTTTCTTAGTTTCTAGTGGATTATCTGGTATTGCAGCTATAAGTCATGGACGGACAAAAAATTTCACTTCATTTGAGCCAACGTTCAAACACTCTTAAAAACAAGCGACTTAAAGAATCAGCCTCGAAGGTGAACGGGTCCTTCCCACAATTCCCAGTATTCAAGAAATCTAACTGTTAGAATCATCATTCACAATCATCTAAATAATAATAACAATCAAGAGATAACATATGTTTTCTCCATATAGCTTCAAAGCCTTTCTATTTGTTGGCAATATATCTCTTGTTGGAAAAAACAATATTAATTTTTCTTCTAATTATATATATATATATATATATATATATATATATATATATTCCAACAATAACAATGCAGTAAAAGCAAAGCAAAGCAACACAACAATATTTTTATTTTTTTGAAAATATTCCAATCGGTTCATCGCTTTATGATTAGTTCGATTCGGGCCGGGTCTCGAGATTAAGGCTTTAACAACACGTAACAATTTTAGATATGGAAAATTTTCCTTATTATGAGTAAAAACCATATTGGTTTTGGAGTTCTCAAATATTTCACTATCTAAAAAATTATTCAACAAAAAGAGGTATTTACCAATTTTAAACATGAAAAATCTCCCCAATGTGACGAGTAAAAATTATCCCCATGATTTTCTTACTATCAATAGAAGTGAGATTACAAAATTATCCAATAATAGCTACAAAAAATTAGAGCAGTAATAAAACCACTTTAAGTTTTGTTGCTAAGAAAGACAAGAGGTATTCAACAATTTTACATGGAAACCCCCTCAATGTGAGAGTAAACCCAATATGTAGCAATTTTACATGTGGAAAACCTCAATGTGGGAAGTAAAAACCACATGACCGTTTTCAAAATCCACCCATCATTCTCACTATCAACAATTGCGATATTAAAAAATTATGCATCAATTGCTACAAACAATTATTCAAAAAAGCATAGGTTTTGTTTGAAATTACTTCTACCACTAGAAAACTCCAATTAGCAATTTGAATGTTCAAATTAAAAGAGAGGAACACACAAATAAAATTTGGGGATGCTGCAAAGGTTAATTAAAGAGATAAGTTTCTTTGAACTTACTACCATGATGTAGAACAATAATATTTGATCTGGATAAAATATGATAGGCCCATCAAGGGACCAAGTATATAGAACAAAGGCCCAAACCCGTAAGGCTCAAAATGGGGCATGATGGCTTACATCGCGCATAAACATGGCACGATGTCATCATCGCGCATGAAACCGCTCTTTAACATAACTTCAGAGATAAAGAAGCAAACACAGGAACTAATAAAGTTCTACCGCACCATTAAGCAAATAGACAGAGGATAGCACCAGCGCGCCACTACTCTATCAAAGTAGCCTGGCATTAAGAGATAAGACTATTAATACACAGGTTGAACCTGTAGCCCTTGAACGGCCAATCAGAGGCCATACCACCTTCTTAAGGCGGCATCGAAACTACTATATAAACAGAGGATACATGCCCAGGTATAATCATCTAATTCAGTAAGAATACACATACACCTGCCATTGATATTGACTTGAACGTCGAAGTGTCATTGCAGGTACCCCCCAGTCAGGCTCACCGCACTGAAGGAGAACCACAGTCCTTTCATCATCATCAACCTCTACCACTCCAAGAGACAGATTACCCCAGAAGCCTTCTTACTTCAACCGTGTGTGATTTAGCCCAGTACACTTTGGCCAGCCCATATTGTATTTGGTCTGATCATTGGCGCCGTATGTGGGGAGCTATCCTTCAGAACCCATCTCTTTACAATCCAAAAACATGGTTGATACTAGAAGCAAATCCCAGAACGGCTCCAAAGGGAAGCAGGAGGAGACACCTGCCTCCCGAGAGAAATCAGCATTGTCGGTGGCACCAATCTCTGTGCACCACGATGACCCACCCACAACTCAACACTTGCTGAAACTCATCACTCAACAAAACAAAAAAATTGCCCAGCAGAATCGAGACTTAGCTCGGTTGAAAAAATCAAGAAAAAATCAAGAAAAACAAAAAGAACCAGAGAAAGAGGCCGAAAAAGAATTTGAAAATTCCGGTGAGAGCGAACTAGTACAGGAGCATTCAAAGCAAGATCCTGGACCCTATGGTCATAACAAAAAAAGGAGAAGAACCCTCTGGTCATAACAAAAAAGGAGAAGAACCTTCTGGTCATGACAAAAAAGGAGAAGCAAAAAAAGAAACCAACGAAAACTCCCAGGGGAATTCCAGGACAGTTTCGCATGTGTTTCACCCATTCACCCCATGTATCATGAACGTCCCCATTCCCAGGGACGTAAAAATTACAACTGAGAAATATAATGGAAAGGGAGACCCGCAAGAAAATCTCGAACAATTCCAGACGAACATGATGGCGCAAGATGTTGTTGATCGCTTGCCGGTTATTCCCATCAACCCTGAAGCAGGTAGTGCTTAGATGGTACTATGCGCTACCACGTAATTCAGTTCAAAGCTGGGAGGATCTAACTAATCAATTCCTCGTACGGTTTGCAACAAGCAAAGCACAGTACAAATCCACACATGCCTTGAAGACTGTACGACAAGGGGCACATGAAACCCTGCGAGATTATCTTAATAGGTTCTTTGATGAGGCACTCTTAGTAAGAGACTTAGATCCGCAAGTTTCCCTGCACCCCATCATAGAAGGATTACTCGAAGGTCCTTTTACTATGTCGTTGGCCAAACAACGCCAACGTAACATAGAAGAAATAAGAGCGCGATCAGAAAAATTTATGAATCTTGAAGACTATAAACGATCGCGGGATACTTCTAATATCAAGTCGAACGTAGACAATTTCGAAAGGGATGTCCAAAAGAATTCTCAAAGAAGATTTCGCGAAAAAAGAAAGTGGGAGAGGTTCGACAATTATACTCCCTTGAACATATCTAGAAGACGAATCTTGAAGGAAGTCTTCCAAACTGGTTATGTACGCGTTAAGACTATTAAGTTGTTTTGTTTTTCATTGTAGCATTCCATTCCACGCTACATTCTTTTAATTGTGTGATTTAAGTAACCAATAAAAGTTACTAATAGTTGAACCAATAAGAATAAGGTTTGAAAAGTCAAAGTTTTACTAAGTAGAAGAAATATTAATTGAGTTACATTTAGCTTCATAGTCGACAACCCCATTTGGTTTTCACGCTCTTTTCGTTCTTCCTTGCGTCCATGTGCAGCGAACTTCTTTGGAGAGAAAGGGCAAGCTTTTGGTTCCTTCAACACTCATTTTTAGACCTTGAGCCTTTCATGAAACTTGTAGAGTGGGACCTAAGATCATACCCCAAGTGAAAGCGCCTTGTAAGAAGCCTTATTTGGTGAGATATTCCCCTTCCATGGTTGCGACCTCAAGGCTGTCAAGGGAGCTCTAGTGGACTGCCTTCGTTATTTCTTGTTGGAGAAAATATCCTAGCTTCTAGAGAAGTTAATTAAGGTATGTAAATTGATCTTTAATGAATGTAATCATGGCTGGAAAACAGATTTATAATGTGTTTTGGATGAATTTTATGGAGGTTAAAGGATGTTTGTATGTTGGAATTTAATTGATTCATGGTTTGTTGTTATTGGATGATGAATTCTTCTAGTTGTATGCTTAAAACAATATGCACATGGGGTGAATTAAGGAACCCCATATGGTTCGACCTTTATGTGTAAAAAGATGCACACTAGGTGTTTGTAATAATGCCTAAAAGAAATCAAGAATTAAGAAGGTCTTGTGATGAATTAAGTTGAAGAAAATGATGTAAAGTTCACTAGATTTTGGTGATATCCCTATAGGGCAAATCTTCCCTATGAATGATGAATGGTATGGAAGTGATTACATAGGTTTGTAATGAGGTATACATAAGTTAAAGATGCATGAGAATTGATTAAATCATGATACAATGAGTTTGAATTGAAAATAATCCTTGAATCCTTTGTTTTTGGATGCCTCAGCCTTTGTAGAAATTTAAGGGTGGATATTATTATGAAGTTGTCAACAAAGATTAGAGTATGTTAAATAATTTGTTGAAGATTGAATCCATGGAGAACCAATTTAGAATCTTTAGAAAAAGTGTTAACTCTAGGAACCTACACATGTGATTTTCAGCCCTCTTCATCAAAATGTGTGAGAGTGGTGTTTGAATACTTGTTTA